TATGTATGTATGTATGTATGTATGTATGTATGTATGTATGTATGTATGTATGTATGTATGTATGTATGTATGTATGTATGTATGTATCTATGTATGTATGTATGTATGTATGTATGTATGTATGTATGTATGTATGTATGTATGTATGTATGTATGTATGTATGTATGTATGTATGTATGTATKTTATGACCCCTGCCGTACTGTAAGTACCGTACGGAAATGCCAAATACCTTCAACTCATCTCAAATCTGGACGCCAAGAAAGAGGTGCAAGGAGACCTAAACAGAGTACACCTACGAGTACGAGTACGAGCTACCATATATTATGATAACTTAAAACCAGTTTACAAAGACGAGTGGTCGTACCTTACTCATACCGCACGCGGATCAGATTAGGCGCATCAATCAATGAAGAAGGTTCTAATCATGTCATTTTCTTCCCTCGACAGTTCTTCGTTCTCTGCAGGTTGCACTATAATTAAGATTTTGTATTTGTAGACTACCAAGTACTACAGGATCAGAAGAATTGAATTCTTACATACTGTAGTTTCCTAAATCAGCAGCGGGTGTGGTTTTCTGACGTGACACGATTTTGACCCTAGACCTTCAATTATCAGATTACCGTACTGTATGAACTTTATTTAATRAWCAGAGTTTTCAGGAAGAAGAAAACAGATATGGTTGTCGTTCGAGACAATATACACCGCGCTTGTCGACTAGTGCTTTTTGTTTGTAGAGTGAAGAAAACAAATACGGTCGTCCGAAACTAAAACCACAACGACAAAAATTAACACGAGCTTATCTACAAGCTTGGAAGTAAAGTGGACCTTAMAAGCAGCTCACAATACTTCCTTTCAAATTTCAAATCAGTTAGTTTTAGCCAACACGCTGTARACYGTGTTCAGACTGCTCTCACTTGGTAAGCGTTCTTCCCTTTGTTTGCATTTCGTCTTGTTTTCTTTCCATCGGTTYGTTTCCCGTCACATTGCGGATCATCTTGCGGGGTCTGCAGCAGTTTCCGCTAGCCGTTTTTCTAGTTTTGTTGCACTTACAGCGTGTATACAGTGCCTGCGTCACAATCTTTATGTATATGTGTACAGTACGTGTATCTGTTTCTGTTTCTGTTTCTGCTATTACCTATTGGCATCGTTGAAAGAAGCATTGAAAAAAGTAGCGATAGCATTCATGACTGCACCCTCCATTGCCGCTTGTGCTCTTCCTCCATCTCCKACGTTTGGCACAAAGACCGTTGCATTCCCAAGCTGTTCTAGCCACCGCAACACAGAGAGATATAAAATACCTAATTATGCCGACGCCTTTGTATCTGAAGCTGGTTCATCTCTGCTGGCCGATCCCATCCCTCGCGAAACACAACACGAAGATGTCCTGGAGAGGCGACCGGGAGAGATGCGGATTGCTGGTTCTGCAGTGTTTGCATCTTCTTCGGAAGATGCGGACGGGGTTGGCTTCTTGGCATGCCCGAGTTCTCCGGGGCTTCCGAAAGAGTGTCACAAAGTGCGGCTAGAGCGCCAGGGTTGCCTACAACTTTCCAAAAACTGCAAAGAAGACGGGACAAAACAGAACGGGATTCTGTTTGTGCCTGCTCTGTGCCCTTCTCCTCGCTGCATTGCTGGTGGTGATGGTGATGGTGATGGTGATGGTCCTGCTGCTGCATCTGTCCCTGCTGCACCTGCTGCTCATCTGCCACCATCCTCCAACAAAAACACAACGAAGCCTCTTACCAGGAGCAAGGACGATGCCATGGGCCGGTTGCTCAAGGCTCTATCCCGGGACGAAATCATTATGCTGGTGGATATCTTTGGAGAGACTGGGGCAAGCACCAGCACAGAAGAGAGTAGAGCAAGTGCTTCGAGTGCTGGACGCTTCAATGCCGACGCCACTGGCTGCGCTTGTGGTAGGCGTGTGACAGGACATAGCCACACCGGCTTTACCGACGTCCAAACGAAACTGGCAAAGTCTAAGGCGCAATTGAGCATCGAAATCGGGTCGGGCAAACCGGAGGCGACACGGGTGACACCCCTGCCTAGGTCTCTCTTTCATCTTGATGGCGGTATGACTGCGACTACAAGTACCACTACAAGTACCACTACAAGTACCACTACAAGTACGACTTCTAGTCTGGAATGCAAAAGCAACTCGGTTCTCCCGTACAATGCACAAGGGATCATCTCGCAGTACAACTCTGTGGCCATTGAAACTAGTACCGTGGCAACGAACAACCAGCAACCTGACAATGTTTCACTTCATCCCTTGCCGTCGTTCTTTTTCCGGGCGTTGGGGTCGGATTGTGGTTCATCGCTACCCCTTCCGTCCACCGTGAAGGAAACGGTACACGAGGAAACAGAAACAACCAAGAAGAACGGGGCCCCGAATAACTCTAATGACAGGCCTCTGTGTTTCATCTTGCCCTCGGGAGACCTTCCTCCCCGTCCACTTCCTTCGGCTGGTCGAAAGCGAAGCGTGGCTCGAAAGAAGAAGAGGGCGAGGAAGAAAGTCGCGGACGCGGACGCAGACGCAGACACGGGCGCTACTCAGCTGCCATACAAGAAACGCAACGTCACCACGCGCTTGGTCCCCGCTGCCGAGGTCGTGGAGACCACAARTCTTACCGGTAACAGCAGAAAGGAAGGCCAATCGCCACCGAATCGCGGCAGGACCAAGAACGAGAAGGAATGCCAAAGGACCTACATCTACATTTCGAAGCCCACCATCAAGGACGAAGAGAGATGGCACAGTCGTCTGGAGCAAGCCAGGGACTTCATCCAAAGGAATGGTCACGGGTGCATCCCTATCACTTACCCACCCAATCCCGAGCTTGCCAACTGGGCAAAGAGGCAACGCTACCACTATAAAATGATGAAGAAACGATTGTCCTCGCACGATTCGATGCACAAACCCTGCGCGGTGTCTTCGTCCGCGTCTCCCGGGCAGGTTTTGGCAGCAGCCTCTGCGGTACAAGAGAGCGACGACCCGCTGCTCACTGTCTCGGCGGCGGAGCTGCGCCACAAGTTTCCCRACGCCCAAATCGAGAAGTGTCTGATGACGRCCCGGCGTCTCCGAGCACTGATGGACATTGGATTTGTTCTAGACAATCCAAACGGACGATGGGAGCACAACTATCAGCTCCTGAAGGAATTCGCTCGAACCAACCAGGGGAGGACCACTCCGTCCCGCCACACCCACCCCGAGGTCTGGAGATGGGCATCGATGCAGAGGTACCAGATGACTCTTCACAAGAGAGATCGCGCCATTCGTGACAGGGACGACGGCGAGGACSAGGACCAGRAAAAAGGCCACAACAACAAGAACAACAGCAAGAAGCACAAACAAAACGGTGCTACTACTCGCAAGAAGAAAGTCTACCTGACGGAAGAGCGAATCGCCAAACTCAACGCCATTGGTTTCGAATGGGAATACTATGCTGGTCAGAGCTAGAAGATCTCGTGCGATACAATGCAATTCCGTACAATGAAATTCAATACAATGCAATTCAATTCAATTCAATACAATGCAATTCAATTCAATACAATGCGATGCAATGCAATGCAATACAATGCGATGCAATGCAATTCAATGCCGCAGAACGATGCCATGCGCGATCAAGTGGTGTGATCTAGTAGACAAATGATGCCAAACAGACAATCAGAAGACCAGAAGACCAAGAAATGAAAAACATCAACCTTTGCAACGAAACGAAACGAAACGAAACTCCATACTCGATCRCTTTGATGTCAACATGCGCAACTGCAACATCAGCAATCCATCAYACACAWGGGAATCCAAAATGGGGAAAGGGGGAAGGGGGGAATCGCGACCACAACGAATACGAAATACGAATGCGAGTCCTGCTAACTACAAATATTTACACTATTACGGTACTAGGTAGAAAAAAACATGCTGGGGATGCCTGGCGTTCTTTGCTTGGTGTCTGTGCAATACAGTAGTCTGTCTGTATGTGTTTGGATTGCTCCGACGTGCAAATGATTGATTTGCGCGGCTTCGTTATCTGTAGATGACATACAAYCAGGTTTGTGCGTCTGTTTTGTTTGTCTCGTGATTATACGAATAGCAGATATTGCTACTACACAACAAACATACTTTCTTTGGTGCAAAGTTGTTCTGGATTTTGTACGTTTGGAGCAGTGTATCCTCCATTCTGCGTTTCTAGAATTCTACTGTAACATATATCTACATCTATATATATTATCCTAGCTTCCGGTGCAAGGCGTGCCATGCCGGTGTTGTGGTTCTTGCAGTTCTTGCGGTTCTTGCCCGTGCTGCTTTTGGTCTTCTTCTCATTGTTGGCGAAACGCCGGAAGCAAAGGGTCCGCCTTGTCCCCGGCCGGGAACCGCCGATTCCCTGGATGGGTGGSGCCTTGACCGTCCTCGTCCTCGTCCAATTCGAGAATGGCGAGGGCCTCGCCGAGGATCGAGCGAACGGATCGGGGACTCGATTCGAACACGGATTCGAACTCGAATCCGGATTCGAATCCGGGTCCGCCTTCGGTGGAAAACAGCGCGCGCGGCAGTGGCCGAAGCGGAGCCGTGTGGCACACACAAGCCGGCCGCCGCGAAGAACCCAATGGTGGTGGTGGTTGCGCGTTGTCTCTGTCTTCGTTTCCGTCTTCGTCTCTGCCTCTGTCTTCGTTTCTGTCTCTGTTTCGTTTTCGGTCGTTGTGCTTGTGCTTGGGTCTTCTAAGCGTTGTGTCTGCAATCGTGTCCGTGTTCGTGTCCGTGATACTCCCCGGGTGGGTCGGTTCGGAAGCCGCGCGTTCCGCTTTCGTCAACGACGACGACGACGACGACGACACGACGAGATCCAGGGCCGCAGCGAAGGGGGTTTCTGTTTCTGTTTCTTTTTCGACCGCAAAGGACAAAACCGGAAAGGCCGTCGTGTTGCTCTCCTGTAGCGCGTTGCTGGAGGGTTGTTCTTTGTTGGCAAGGGATGTCATTGTGCACTTGTTGGTGGTTGGTGTGGGCCGTGTTTGCTTGCTTGCTTGCTTCTTTGKTTGTTTGTTGGGCAGAAGCGGTTCGTTTTGTGCATTATGGTTCTTGTTTGTTTGAGCAGAACGCCGAGTCTCTACCAAAATCCGTGTTGTTCCAGATKGTTTGGGGAGTGCTCCCGCAAGAGTTCCGCTGCAAATTTTGTTCTGTTCCATTCGATTCGATACARATTCCMACAATTTGTGGGGGACCCTTCGCCATTGAACTTCAAGGAATCTGTGGGGAAGAATGCATMATGRCGCACGTGYYGACCGSAWCAMGACAATGGCCTCCGTCATTCTGCCAATGGTAGTAGCACAGCCCGATGAATTTCCCGTTCAAGGACCGCACTTTTCTGTAGACTATATATGAACGATTCGATGTTTTATGGAAGTGACKTGCCTAATGTCAAACTCGTACGGTAGGTGAGCCCGAACGAGAGAGCTACTAGAAAACACAAAGAACCACGACATTAAGCTTCTGTATTGAACTTGATGGCGATGTTGCGTTCGTTTTTTTTTTTCACTTACTTAATGCGCCGACCGGGTTGTGTTCCGAATTCCGACGCTTGGATGCGAACAAGAATCGTACGAGCACCCGTACAACTCTTGCGTCCACTCCGAGGTCCCCACCCGAGCGGATCCGGCTCCTTTGTTTTCTCGTACACGCCGTGTCCGCGTTGCCGTCCCTAAAAACAAGCGGGGGATTCGTTGGTCTGCGGCGATCCGTKTGTTTGGATACCGCAGGAACGTGATTGTTATGCTGCCACCAAGTGCCGTGCTCGCCCTCGGCATTTCGTGTTCGGCGCGCTGCCGACTCACGAATCCGGGTCCCGAACCACCCTGTTTACTTAAGGTTCAGGGGACGGCCGTGCTGGATTGCCATAAGGACGACAAAATATCAATGGTCGTTTCCTTTTTTTTGTACGACAAAGCGGATCCCGGTTGCTCACATGTATGTGATCGCATCACGGMATGGCATGGCATGGGACGGCACGCACCGTACGGTGGTTTCCGTTTTTCTACAACAAAGCGGATCCCGGTTGCTCACTTTACCGTACGATTGAACGATGCGATGGCATAAAACCTTCCGATACGGTACCGTACCGCGTTCCTTTMAATATTGACACCCGCGTTCCTTAATTAGGCAAGGGTCACGTTCGTTCGTAGGCAAGCAACGACGACACCAGACGTCATCATGACATCAGTTAAATAGAATCAGCCAATCAAAATTGGTAATGGCAGATCACATGCGTCAGYTATTCAAGATCCGCGCATGAGCGCAAYAGCAACTCTATTTCCTACGGCTCCCAGTAACGAGGTTTGCTTAAATGAAACAAACCATGAGAGTTGAAGAGAAGAAGTTCTTGTTGCAATGCTATTTACAGTATTTTTTATTTTACCATTGCGAGTATTGTACTTCAATACAGTACTTGTACCTAACTACCGTAGCTTACGTACGATCAGAAATACCGTACCTTTCTACACTGTACAGTACTTGTCGTACGGCCCGTTCTTAAGATACCATTATTCTTCCATCGTTGTCGTTGTAGTAGTACTAGTAATTACGACTAGTAATTTCGATTGGTGCAATTCAATCCAATCCAATTCAATCCAATTCAACACAGCATTCCACCAAACGCCGGCCCGGCCGGGTCCCGGATTCGCGGAAGACCGATCGACGTTTTCGGGTTTTGGTGTTCTTCTGTTCGACGCCGAAGCAGTACGTACCTGTACGAGTACCGTACTGTGTTGTACGCAGTACGAAGCAGGTGTACGGTACTCGTACTGTAAATGTGCTGTGTTGCTGGTATGTACGGTACGGCAAAGTACGAGTATTGTAGCTGCCAGTCGCCTGTTGGCTGCGGTTTCCCCACGCCACCCAACGCCTCGATGGATTCTTGGTTCGTTCAGTCCATTTCTATCAACAACAGCAAGAACAACAGCAAGGAAGAACAACAGCAAGGAAGAACAACAGCAAGAACAACAGCAAGAACAGCAGCAGCAGCAGCAGCAAGAGCAGCAGCAAGTACACCAATCATTGCCACCACCACCACTGCGGCAAAGAAGAAACCAAAGCGCCAAACGAAAAGGCACTTTTCACCAGCAGCACAGCACAGCGATGTCGTGGCATTCCAGCAGCAGCAGCAGCAGCAGCAGCACCGGCCCCCGCCCATCGTTTGGCACCTATTCTGATGGACCTTCTAGCAGCAGCGGCAACAGAAGGCCCCTCCGTGTGCCTGCTGCCGCTGCGGTTGCTGCTCGTGCCAATGCCAATATCAATATCAATGCCAATATCAATATCAATGCCAATGGCAATGCCAATGCCGCTTCTCCCATGCCTCCACACCCGTCGGTTTTGCCTTTGCTTCTGCTTCTGCTTCTGCTTTTGCTGGTCGCATTCGGAGCGGCAATCCTCGCCCGGACTAGGGGGTTTCGCTGCTCCTTCTCCTGCAGCAACGCGAACGCCAACGCGAACGCCAACGCGAACGCCAACGCGAACAATGGCGTTCCAGAACGAGAACCAGAACCAGAACGAGAGCGACGCATTCCTCCACACCTTTGCCTCTTTCCGCAGGGCTTGCCATTCTTCTTTGGCGGCAGAAACGCCGCGGCCCGTGCGTCGTCATTGCCGTCATTACCATCACCATCTTCTTCTTCTTCTTCTTTGGCTGCTGCCTTGGATTCGCCCGTTCCCACCCACATTGTCATTCCGACCGGCAGGGCCATCGGCACCGGGAACCGAGCCGGGATCGCTCGCAATCGCACCCGCAATCGCATCCGCAATCGCACCCGCAATCGCACCCGCAATCGCAATCGCAATCGCACCCGCAATCGCACCAAGGGAGCTCCGCTTTCCCGAACCATTGGGCGAAACCGAAGCCCCCGGTCTCCGTCTTTTGCGCTTGCCTTTGCGTCGTCCTCCGCCTCCTCCTCCGCCTCCCTTTCCCGATTCTTTCGCGGCATCCTCGGACGCGCCGCAAGCCAAGACGAGAGCGAGCAGGAGCACGAGAGCGAAGGAGAACACCGGAGCCAGGGCACCGGCACCACGGTGTCCTGCGAGAGCGACCACCACCCCTGGGAACAAGGCCCCGGGAGTGTTAGTGGCAGTGTGAGTGGCAGTGTTGGTGTTGGCGTGCCACACCGCGTTTCTCCGATAGGCCCCGACACCCTCGACGAGGCCCGCTGTCCCAACGCGACGATTCAGTTCCGGGCCCCCATCAACCCCAGCAAGACCGGGAAGGGGGGAATGGGCAACCACAGCCGAGCAAGGTACCACCTGGCACCGGACGTGGACACAGATATTGATATAGATATAGATATAGATATAGATACAGATGCAGACACGGACACAGACATGGATACGGACATGGATACAGTCACGGATACAGTCACGGACACGGACACCGCCCTCCTCYGCGACTTTCTGTTCCACACCGAGGACTACGTGTCCTATCCGAGGTCCAGGCTGACCATTCTCCTGCGGGCCAGGGCGCCCTCCACCAGGGACGAGGCAAAAGCGCTGGGGGACCTAAGGGCCCTCCTGGAAGACGCCGCCTCTGGGCAGGGGGAACAGGAAC